ATTTTATGGATAGTACTTATTCATTTGCAACATTCTTTATGTAATTTTATTTGCATGAGATAATAATTGGTTATTTTATTGCTCAATAATTTTTTACATATTTACACATTTCATATATTTTATTGATAGTACTTTGTCATCAATTAAATACGCGATATACCGACAAAGTTGACTTCAATTAAAAATGCTAACACTAAAAATATAATAAGAGTTTTTTTATTGAAATTTTTTAAACGATTGCTCTTTTATGGAAAGTATTCCTGTTTATTTATAAATAATTATAGATAAACGCTTGATGTTATTTTGTCGCGGAGTTATCGACGTAAAGAGATATAAAAAAGTAATATATTATATATAAACGGATATACATATATGTCCATCGTATAGAGGAAGGCAAAATCCGTATCTGCCTCCTTCAGCCTCATTATCCATCCAATTAAGAATTTGCATATTAATCACGCGCCGCTATTTCGACAGACGTGACTTGATGGAATCGTTTCAATTAAAGCGCAACATCATTGCCACATATGATGCTTAACAAGAAGCGCGCAAGAACGGAAGCACCACGCCCCGGAGTAGCTTTAAGTTGTAGTCATGCGAGCAAGGGCCGTATGTAATTGTGTTTTGTTTATTTATACCGCGTGTTTCATTCGTTAACGAATCAACGGAACGCTGACGAAAACTGTAGCAAGCAGGTTTACGGAAACATAATCAAAATTACTCATTGTTTTTATGATAATTAATTATCTTGTGAAAAATGTGATATGCATAAATTTATTAACACGTTAAGCGTCAATTTTGTCTACCTTTTCGTTTACTCCATGTAAGAAAAGCAAGCATTATTTCAATAATAGATAAGTTCAAATTTAATAATTATAACAAATAATTATTATTTTTTGTATTTTATATCGTCGATCATCAATGACATGGCGCTTATCGTGTTAAGCAATATAATAAAATGTGATGGGAAAATATAACAGCAAGATTATAACATAATATTTCAAGAATTTTGTTTCCTGTAAACAAGAAATCATTTAATTAAAATTAAATATTAAGACGAAATTAAAAAATTAAGTCCCATAAAAATTGAAATCAATTGATATATACCTTCTTTTATTTTATTTTTTTTTTATTTTTTTTATACAAGTATATACAGATTATATACAAATGAAATATACCTTCAGCAATTTCAGCAATTTAGATATGGAGTAATCTCTAGAGCGATATCTAGATTTGTGTTATTTGAAAGCACATCTGGATAATCGCTTTGTATATAACTTGAAAATCTTTTTCTACTGGAAGTTTAATCATTAATTTTTGCCATAACATTTATTGGTTAACTTTCAATATTAAATATTCTAGTAATAATGGGATAATCTTAAGAAGTTTTTTTTTAAATCTGACTCTTAGAACTTAATTTTCCCATCAAAATATATCTGCGATTTTGATACAACCTATATAAATTCGTGTTGCGCGCGCGCGAGCACGCGTATCCGCGATCTCTTGTTTTATTCTCTCATCTCAGTGCAGTTAATGAGTAGGTTCTTTTTTTGGGGGGGGGGAGGGGGGAGAGAAACGAAGTTAATGTAATATCAAAGTACATCGAACCTGTCTCGGCGCGTTGATGCGAGCACTAGCGAGTTATGGCAATGAAAAGCCGCACTTACCCCGGTATGGAGGTTGATGAGGGAATGAGGAATTCCGGTTTCCGTCTGGAAGGCAGGCAGCATCCGTTCGCCGAGCTGCGCCGCCTTATCCCGGAACATCACGTCTCCCGTGAGAGCGTAACAGGCAAGCAGGCTTCCCATGAAACGAATATTCGTCTCAAACAGCGATATTTCGGAGTTCTGAAACAAAATGAGCAAAACGTTCGGATTAATAACGCGCCAATCGTGGATAGGAGAATTATCGCATTGTATAATATCGCGGATCACACATACACATCCACGCATCCGTCATCATCTGATATAATCGATACATACGTTTATTAATCCTTCCATATTCATTCTAGCCATACGGCTATTATGAATTGCGAAATAAAATATTACTGCAGTTTACATTTTCATATCTGTAAATGTATATTGTTTCCTCATAGGATGATCTCGCAGTCTTGTATTATATAAAGACGGTACGCATGTATATTTTAATATGTATTTAAAATTTATTAACACGCAGAACACATGTTCGTCTTTCATTTGGCATTGTTGTGGTTCGGTGCGATAAAAGTTATTATAAGTACAGTAAGACCTTGTAGAATTATACTTTCTTGATGTATTATAGGTGGATCATAGATTCATCAAAGATGAAAAAAGGGTTTTCATGCCCAACCACTTTGCAATGCAAATTATTAGACACAGCTGTAAGAAAAATAACAAGTAGAAAAGTTCTTATACGTCTTCAAAGTGCCAGACTGTTTTTATGAAATATTTTTAATTTGTCACGTATAATGCACAAAAACAAATAGTTTTTGTTGTTAAGTAATGGAGGAACAAAGTGCTAAATTGTTCAGTAAGATGATATAATGTAATTTTATTTTTGAAAATTATAAAACATGATATAAGAATAGAAAAGAATGTAATAATTGTATGCGGTATATAAAATGTTCCAAATAAATTTAATCGGTAAAAGCCAACGGAATATAGTGTTTGAATAGACGGAAATGGAGATGAGGAGAGTATATGCGTGTATGTGTTGCGTGTGTGTGTGTGTGTGTGTGTGTATGTTACGCCTAAGATTTGCGGCATTGCAGTTTCATTCATCGTGCAGAAACTCGATCTGCATCATCTACGATGTAAACGCGACGTGGATTGCACTATTCATATAGTAAGCAGTGTTCTGTATAGTTATCAGTAGCCTGAAGCAGTAATATTTGAAATGAAAGTTAATGAAGTGTTTCACAGTTTCTGCGTTCAACTAAATGATCTCTTAACAACAAAATTATATTCGAACAATGGTTTTTAATATTTATAAAAACGCTACAATTGCTCTTATTATTCCAATAACTCAAATGTCATGATATGAAATAATATCTGCTCGATATGACATGTTTCTTGATATATAATAGACCATAATGGACCGTTTATCAAAGGTAATTCTGTAAATTATCATCAACGCGATGATAGATATTTGACAGAATCTAATGCGAAAGCTCGATAGTATCAGCCGCAAATGGAGAAGAGCGATGGGTTTCGCATCGTTTGCCACAGAACAGAAAATCTCTTTTCTTCTATCTTTATATCATATATACATTTTTCGGTTTTCTGAGGATTACGCATAATTAGAGTTCTCTCCAGTATTATCGTTACGTACACGAAACATGACGAATGTCGATGCATTAAGATACGCATCGCATTGCGTGACTGTGATTCCACGTGGATGATAGTCAGAGGCGCTGTTGTATACGTTCCGGTCATAATTACATTGTACATTCGTCTTCGTGACAGGCTAGATTGATAAATAATTGTCCATTTGGTGATTAAAGTAGCTCCAGTAGTCTCTCTTATCTTTTGCAGAGAAACTGCATTTTACTTTCAAACGTGCAACGAACAACAATCTGAAATTAATTCGTCTGTATAATCCCTTTATATCATGTCCACGTCATATTTGCATGAATATTGTTGCAAATTTTTAAGTACGTGAATATATTATGTGAAATTTTTATGGATAATATCTCAATATCAAATTACATTTAACGACGCTTTTAGGAACGTGGAATTTATTACATTGTGTAAAATGTTGCGAATTATAAAAAGATGGACATATATTACGCAGCTTGTAAAATGAGTTGTAACGAATGCAATAGGTGGTAATAAAAAAATACGTGCATGTCGGAATAAAACTCACGCTTGAGAAAGTAATTTTCGTACTGTCGCATAAAACATTCTTTTCCAAAAAAAAGTATAAGATACAATCTGATATTTCAAGCATTCAGATTCTGCAAATACAATTTTTGTAGTGTGGTATAAAAATTTTAGTAGCGGCAATGGCAATGGCACACATATTCTATAGATGCCAATATTCTATTATAAACGCCAACCCTGCTAAACATAGAACACAGAAAACCATATCATGCACAATCAAAGCTTTTATTCCTCATTTATACATCTATACAATTTCTGCTATGTTCCTCATTAATTAGCCAGACGAGAAGGTTGGCATTCCTACATTTGGACTAAAAGTTTGCTTTTCAATTCGTGAAAATAGGGCATGGAGATTAAGTATGTATAATTACGGAATTGCCTCCAAAATTGGCCTCACAAATATAGCAAGCTTTGTATCTAAACTGTTCGAAATACTGAAAATACTACTGGGCGAAAATTGCGATGTGAGAATTGAGTTTTTGAAAAATGTTTATTATATATTTATATAAGGCTTACATTTAAAATCATATTAGTGTCAATATCCATTCGATTGCTAAGTTTAAAGCTGCTATAACAAAATATTGTTACGTCCAGTAAGATAAATTCTTTGCCCGAAATATTCGTTGAACATTTGAACATTGAACGGCAGTTACTTTATAATTAGGAGCATCTGAAAACGCTCTGACGCAGAACCGTAGGGATAATGACGCGTGGCGCATGAAAGCGAGTAAATTGGCGTTGTTCTCACGTTTGCGAGGTATTGTGGCGCTAATTGACATTTATGATGCACGTTGCGATAGGAAGTACCGTGGGAAGTTCGTAAGCGATACATTTTCGCGTCGATTATACTCTGGGACTAAAGACTTCTTGTCAACTCCAAATTACACTTTAGATAGATTTTCTATCAAACCTGCAATTTAGCTATCACGTCACATGTAATTGTGCAATTAAGTAGAATTCAACGAATATCGCGCAGTTAAATGAACTTTTACGTCTTATAGAATATAATTTGGTGGAGGTCGTGTTAATATAAAATAATATATATAAAATTTTTATCAAAGAGCAAATATACTTGAGCAATGCACAAACGAATCTTGCTTTCGTTGATAAAATTAGACGAAACTTGTAACACGAACGAAAGTGTCATAGTGTTGTCTACTTATACGTTTGAATATTTTATCCGCGTCCTCGCTCTTGGAAAGCAATATATGTATGCAATCTTCTCGGATGTGACAGGCTTCATCTTCTTTTCACTTTTCTTTTGCGTTTCTACCTTTTCAATTTCCTCCTTTCCCTTTTTCTGCTTACTTATCTATTGCTCTCTTTCTTTTTCCCTTCTACTTTCTTTTACACCCCCGTTTGCGGTAACGTCGTGCGCTCCGTTTACAGCATAGTTATTAATAACGGTAGTAAGTTTTAATGAAAATGTTATACTCTCTTTACACACGTACACGCGCGTACACATACGTCGCGCAGTCGCATTGATATTCGTAGTAGCGTGTGCGTGCAATACCGTCCGGGCATGCCTCTCTTGGATTCATGAACATGCGTGCCGTAGTGCACAGATCCGATGAACTGTTGGTATTTTACACGCGAATCTCTTTGATTATCCACGCCGTTGCCGCTTCAATCCAGGTGCTTGAAATGTAGCGTGTCAAATGGCCTTAAAATTCCGTTGGCGATTAGTACCGGATAAGCATATTTCTCTCATTCGCTCTATCTGACAAATCCCGTCGGAGTGCAATAACGAACTCGCAAAAGACCTCTCTTTTTTTTCCCAGAACATTTGTAATTTGATATGTAGGAAATCATCACAGACTTCGCGCGAAAGAAGTCCAGGTTCCAAAGATGCTCGACCGAATTTTTCTCCGGGTTGGTTAACGTGTGAAAATTCTGCGTGATCTAAAGGCTTGAGAGAGTTTCAACGGACTCGCGTAGAGAGATCTAATCTTTTCGCACAAATGTGAAAAATCACTTGTGGCACCGCATTCAATATAATCCCGGAGAAATATTCTATTTGTTATGGCAGAGAGAAAATTGTTGGCCGAGGTGGATTTGTAAAAAACGTTTTCGCGTCGCAGGACTGTTATTTCACGGCTCTCCGATTCGATTCCCATCTCGTTGAATCAGGGGGTGGAGTCGTCGGTTGAAATAAAGCCAGACAAGAAGCCCGGCTGCTAGGCGTCACGCTATTTTCCACTAGCTCAGCGATACGTCGGACACCCTCGGACACCCTCGCGCGTCCTTCCTAATCTCACTCTCCGTCCTCGCCGCCTTGCAGACGCGTTGTCAGTTCTGTATAAGATCTACTTATCGTTTCGCGCATCTCTTTGCGTACAATGGCCAATAGGCTGCGGGCATTTCGATACGAAACGAAGTATCGTGGCCTCTCGTAAACTCTTGCTCGTTCATCTTCCTATGCCGGGAAGAGAACGTCGGTTGTCGGATGCAACGAAATCGCATTGTACTAGCTAATTTCCTACCGGCTTGTAAAAATGAACGTTTAGCGTTTTCAAGTTATTGTACAAATACGTTCTACACAAAGCTGTACAGCCGATACTTTCCTTTTATTAAATTCCAGCGTTTCTCTCGCTTTACACGAATGGCGGAGGATGTTTTGTGATTATTAAGATGTATAATACTCTCTAACAGTCAATCAGTGAATTATCGCGGAAAACAGTGAATAGTCGCTGATTTGCAGTTGTAAACTTTCAGTGATAATCCACTGATTGACTTTTAGGCAATTTATAGACGTCTCTCGATTCTCAAGAATGTATCAGGTGAGATGCTCAGATTGGAGTTTCATGTCTTGAGATACGGACGGTTCAATAGTCATATTTTGATCAAAGATCGATTGAGACTGTATTCAGCTGAAAAGGGGGCGGATTACTCACCTGAAATTCGTCTTGAGAGTCAAAACATCGATTAAAGCGGCGACACGCGATTATTCTCGAATCTTAGATGACACGAAATTCAAAAACTATTTTCTAAAACTTTCTTTGAAAATCTCTATTGAATCGAGATTACAAATAAATATCAAATTGAGTCTCAAGATTCTCTATTAAACAGTATTATGTCTCAAGACTTTTTAGCTGAATTTCTCAGCAGAATCGCGACTATAAATACGGGCCTTAGAAAGAAATTACTCGTACATTTTGGTACAACGTAAATTTTGACTGTTAAGATTTGTTAGTTAAGGCTGTTTAGATATTTATATTTTGTTTTATAAATACAAATAATTAGATTGTGCGGAAGGGAGTTAAGGCGAAGAAAGGATCTGCAATCCGTATGAAATAGCCGATACTATTCTCGAGGAACGCGGAAGTTATGAGTATATCGCCGTTTCCGAGTATAGCTATCGTAAACGGAAATGTGCCGAGGCAACTCAAGCGAAGAGCATTGTAAGGAGCGAAATCAGTTGTTCGAAGAGGGCTCTTTAACAGATAATAGAGTCACGGTTGGATACACGAGTGGATCACAGGTGTCGATGCGATCTCTGAAGTCGTTTCGTGAATCTTATGGGAAATTGAAATTTTTGGAACATCTCAGGAGTGGTGAAACGCTCGAAGCTTACCACTTTTCTCCAACAATTTTTGTGAATTATCAAATTATTATGTCGAGTAAGCTTTTTAAAAAGTCGTATGAAAAATAGAGAGAAATGACATGATAAAATTGCGACGTTCTAAATAAAAATAATTATACAAAATTAATTAATAGTACAGAAATTATAATTAAATATTGCGCAAGTAGCAGTCAACTAAAACTTGTTCGTTTGGCATTGTCTCATTCGCAAATTGAAAAAATACAAAGTAGACAGATACATGACACCAGTATCAGGATTTACAAAAATACTCATCGCAAACTCCGACGTAAGGAAGTTGTTAGTTTATTGTAATATTTTTATGATCCGTAAAAAGGACTAGACGATTTATATAAATGATACAAAACTCACGTCGCGGGAATAATATCGGATATACAATTAAAGAGACGAGCGGAAATAAAGCCGACAATAATTGAACTGGTTGCAGTTTCGCCGCAACTCCATTCTCTCCGTTACGCGCCGCACTAAAACGAGCCACGTAAGTTTGGTAACATAAAGTCTCGTAAATGTAACATGACCTTAAGCATAGGTCACTGTTTGGCCTTGCAACCGCGTCGCTTGCAGAAGTTTTGCGACTTTAATGGGATGAAATTACATTGCGGAGAGTAACAAGGGTGCGCCGTAAACCTAGAAGAAGCCAGATATTTCCCAAATGCAATGATTTCTGCTTACTCCGCCATCTTTATCTTGTTTTGGCTCATTCATTTTATCACTTATCTTTTTCTGCTGTTTTATCTGGATTTTTCTGCTCGCCGATTAAATGGTGATATACTATTTTTGAAAATGGTCTGCTACAAATTCTGCTTAAAAATACCCTTATTCATCCTGAAGTTAATAATTGCTATCAAATTGTTAAGCACTAGATCGTGACAATATGCAATATCGTATCCCTTTTGCACTCCTGTTAACATTTCTGAACGGTTAATAGCTTCGTTGTTAGATCTTCCGTGTTTTAATCGTGGCATTTTATGAGTTTCTCCCGTGGAAAAGTTGGCCGAGAGGGAAACAAAACTTGAACGTAATCATCGGTTGTGGTTACGCGGCTATATTAGGCGGGACACGTTATAAACTCGATTGCAAGAAGCTCTCGCATGCTTTTGCGCCACTTGTAAAAGCAACTTGTACAAGACTGCACAGCTCGGCAGATAGTCACGAAAGCACTCGCGCGAGTAACAAGTTTCGACACGCCTTTATACACGCTCCACTTTTGTCGGAGCCCCGTACGATAGTTCACCCTCCTTCGCCCCCCTAGGCCGGTCGACGTGAGGTAACAAAGGAATTTTCCTAGGAAGGGATTCGCTTATCTTCGAAAACTGCCGCGGGGGGGAAAAAGTGTTATACTTGCGATAATGCCGTGCGTTGCATCGCCACGTTGACGAGGGGATGACTTTCGAAGTAACAACAACCCTTTTGGGATCCTGTTTCCTACCCCCCCCCTCCTCCCACGTAAACGTCAGACGATACAATGAGTCACCCAAATGACGAGAAATCGAGCAGCCAAAACTTCATGCTAAGGCCCGGTCTACAATGAGTTGTTAGTCGTTAGTCAGAAGTCGGAACTATATGTCGGTCCTTTTTCTTCTACCCAGAAAGGAAAAGGATCAACATATAGTTGCGACTTCTGACTAACGACTAACGACTCATTGTAGACCGGGCCTAAAGCATTCCCTTTGTCGGTGCAACTACAATTGTTGCACCGTTTCCTCGTCCGTGCGATAGTCCGCGGTTCGAATATCATTAATTAATATTTCTATCGAACACTAAACTGGAGAAACTTGACGCATTATGTACGCTCTACGCCCGACAGTCCTATTCTTCACAGTACTACCGCACATTTGTTACACCGAGGGTAAGACGAAGGAGGTTTTCGGTGGAAGAAAGCGTATTTAACGAGACCAGTGGAGAATGCACTAAAAGATCGTAGATCTCTCATGCGGGAGAATTACGGGGATCGAAAGAAAGATGACCTTTTTCCCCATTATTCAATATGTACATATGTATTATTATAGAGGATAATGTGTGAACACACATACACTTTATAAAATATAATAATTAGAGGAATGTCCCCTATTATGAGATAGGCACCTAATATGAGACAGTTTCTGGTAAATTAATAGGCATCGTCTGTTGGCTCCACCGTGAATTCATTGCCCTAGGAGTGAAATCTGTTTAGTGGAGAATTGATTGTCGGATGCGAAAAAAGATTTGCGATTGAATTTGGACGTTGAACAACCATCTCACATTAGAATCCTATCTCATAATAGCGTACTTTCCTCTGCCAATGATGATCTTGATGTCCATTTCGACAAAGATGAAACAAAAGATAGACAGATATATTTTCGTACGCTGAGAAAAAATTCCATCGAATAAATCGATTAAGTGTTTCCGATGGAAAGTTAACCATCGATTTTTCGGATTAAGTTTCTCGATTAAATTATGGATATATTCGAGTGAAGTTTATCCAATGAAAGTGCAGTCACCAATAAAATTTAATCGAAAAAACCGATTATATTCTTCATTGTATATACAATTTAATCGAATATATCCATTTGTTAACATGTAATTGAATTACCCGATTAGATAAGCCGGGATATTTTTCTCAATGTACGTATTTTTATGCCTTTGTAACGTAATCCCTAAAGATCCGTTATCAAAATGTTAATCATAGTGTTATGCCTGTACAGAGACGATCTTGAACTTCGACCGTGTCGAAGTTACAAAGGAAAGGGGGAGGTTGCCGTTATAGTACACATTTACCCTATAAATTTGTTAACATCAAACGTGATGTTTGTCATAATCAGACCGCGTGCAATTAACAATTTTTATAAGCTGACTTTTATGTACAGTAAAGTCTCGATTTAACGTATCCTGATATAACGTACTTCGGATGTAACGGATAAGTAGAAATGCGCATCGTGCATTTACATATCTGAGGTAGCGTTAGACTCGCTTTGTTTCGATCTCGCTGCAGTCTGCCCTAAGATATCGTGCGATCAACTTGTTTACCGAGTGTTTGTGTGATTTCTGAGTTGTGATTGTATATTAAATAATGTTACAATTTATTAAATAATTTTGCAATCCTAACAATTCAAAATGCATCAAGTAATGAAAAAAATTAAAAGGAAGCGTGCGAACTTAAACGTGGCGGAGAAATGATAGATAATTGATGATTTCATATTGCGTAGTATTATACATCAAAACGTTCTTTTTTATATTAAAAACAATAAAAGGGTAAACAAGGTCCGATTTAACACAGTTTCGCTTTTAATGAAACTCCTGCGATGTGTCTTAAATCAAGGTTTTACTGTACTTCACATGTATATAAAAATCTTCGCATGATTTCTTTAAGTTTATATTTAACGAATGTATAACGCAAATGGACTTGGAGTAGGATAAAAACTTAAAGACTGAACTTTACTACACTCGAACACCAATCAGGATTGCGCGATTCGAACATGTTATTAGACAAAGTAACCGTACTAGCTGACAGCAGTGAAATACGACGCGGGACGTGCTAATTTCTGCCTTGGTACGCCCAAGGAGATTTGTGTGCGACGAGTTGCATGCGTTCTTCGTACTTATAAGCAATGCCGATAGTGCTTCTAGTTAGAAGGTGCTCGTGGAATAGAGACATTACATTTGCAGTTTAGATAAGACATATCGCGTGGCAACACGATGTCAAAGGAGTCTGCTCGAGCATCTTATCAAGATTAAAATCACGATTTATAATAGGATTTCACAAATCAAAGCAATCGAGACGGCTAATCGTGTTCTGTGGTCTTACAGTGCAAAACGTTCATAATCTTCCACGTTAAAAAATACATTTTTAAAAAATGCATAATCTTCCATACTATCGCGGTAAAAGCTTATATGTATGTGCACTAAAAAAATGTGCATATTTGAATTTCGCGCGCTTTAACTGAGTTTTGCTTAAAATCTCGAATTGCGATCGTGATTTTACTTTTACAAGCGGATAAGCTAAATCAAATCGTACGGTTTATTCAACGTTAAGAGCTGTTTATTTTAATTATTTAGAGAAATATTTTGGCTCGCACTTAGTTTAATATCAGGATATTTAAGCATAAACGGAGCGCGTAAGTTTCAAAGTTTCTGACAGTCCAGAGAGATGTTACTTTCTATCTAACACGATGCACTTTTCTTCACGAAAGTATTTGTCAATCACGATTCATTGTTGAGAACTATATTCTGTGATTACTGTCGGCGCACAGAATACAGTACCATAAAGTATGATAACGACGAGCTGACGAGCTGCAATAGGACATATATAAAAATATAAAATTTGTAACGAGTAATTTTCTATACGTGTAAGTTGCTCGTTTTACCGTGGCGAAACCTGGTAAAGACGGCACGAACAGACCAAGGCAAATCATCATTGTGCAAGTCTTCATACTTCGGTACGTTATCATCATGAGGCACTTTTGCGTGCTTAATGGAGCTTCATACCATCGAGTGTTGCATCTGCGATGCCATATATTAATCGACATTAATCGATCTATTACATGCAATTACATAAATTGGCGATATGTGTTTAACTAAAATATCGTTTCTTCTCTGCACTCACATTTTCTTAAAGATATCGTCACTATGATCTATTACCAGTTGGCCAGTGTAAGTACAAAGTAACATGTAGCAAAAATGACTGAAAACGTATAAGAGCAATATGCTCGTACCGCCGATATCTCCCGCCATGACGCGCTCGCACAACTGCGAAACTTGCGATCTCTTAAAAATTATCATACGACGTTAATGGTACACAATCAGAAGCTTCATAAACTCACAAGGTATAGATTGATGCTTAACGATGAAACGCTGAGAGGAATCGCAAAAAAGTGAGCAATTGAGAAAGTGTTTTTGAGGGAATCGATGGACCTTGAACGATTATTAGTAATATGAATTTGAGTTCTTAAAAAAAGGTTGTAGTGTAAAAACACTAAAACCAGATCAATCAATAGAACAGTTTTAAAATATGAAATTATTTCGTGCCGTAAAACGCAATTTTTTTACGCTCTTAAGAATTATTTTGGAAAGAATCTTATAAACTGGAATACCAACTCGATAGCATTTTGATGACCGTCGACAGTCTCCACGAGGCTTTTATGAATACTGAATTTTTCTGGAGAGATTAACCATTTCATTTGACTGTTGTTCACAATACGTTCAATTCGATAACTGAAATGCAATTATCTCATGGTATATTCAATCGTAACAATATGTTATATTGAATCAAAACCATGTGTTTATAGTTTCTTTATTAATATTTAAAAATTCGTTACCTAGTGATTTGAAACATTGCACATGTGTGTTGTACATACATTAGCACGAACGTTTCGACAGCTATCATCGTGCTAATACCAATAAAGCCCGACAGGAGCAAATAGAATGTTAACAATCCGATGTATTTCTCCTCATTGACAAACAATTCTACCATGACCGAAATCTGCCACAATGATCGCGATTCGTTTAATGGCATCGCGATATCGAGAATACTTGGCGAAGAAAGCATTAATATAAAGACGAAGGTCGTTGTGTATATCCATACTGTAACAATCTGGTATTCTAATTCCAATTTTTTAATTTTAATTCCATGATCGCACTACGGCACGTTTTGAAATTTAACTTTAATACTCACTTAAAAGAATAATTGTGCAAGATCTCCCGATATTAGCGCGATGGCGTATGATTTTAAATTCCTCTTTCTCTTTTAGGGTATTCCAATCATATCGTATTTGTTCCATAAGCTCTCTCACCTATAAGAACGAGATGCTAATAATTCACATAGATATATGAGCTACATATACGAAGAGAAGATGTCTGATTTTTCAGGACGTCATGTGATTCGAACGCGTTTATAGAAATCAATCATAAACTTACTTTACTGCTATTAGTAAACATGGCAAAATATTTAACTGTGTAATACAGTGTAATTCCCAATATCGAGAAAATATTTAAAAGGCGATCCACGCTGTATCCCTTGACAATAAACGATGATAACTAGAATTATATACATACTATTCGTCCATAAAACTTGTATAAGTGTCTACATAATACGTATAACAATAATTTACGTGCTAATCTACTAACATTTAAATCTCGTATAAAATTAAGTGTTAAAATTTTGATGCTCATCGAAAATTTATAATAAATATTATAAAAGTATGAAATTAGAGACCCAAATTATTATATCGTACTTTTGAAAACAGAATTGCTTACGAATAATAAAATCAGACATGGTAATTGTATGTAATAACAAATTATTAACGGTAATTATTAACTATAAAATAATTAAAAGCACAAAAAGAATAAGAGCGCTAATTGTAAGCTGCGAAACAAATATCGAAGTCAAATTTGCTCAATCTACGACAAACCTGAAAAAAGACATTAGATAAAAGTAGGAGAAACAAAAATGTGCTATAGACGTAGTTTGTGCGTTGCGTATAATATGGCCACAGTCCAAGGCACGTTAAAAGTATTCGATTCACTCTATAGTAATGACTCCCAGCGAAGTCGTTCATGTCTGCGCGATACTAGAGACACTGTTCCGTTCGACAACTTATAGAGATTCTTATTTTTACTAGTGTCTATAAGTATTGCGTATCGGTCATTTTTTCTACAAAACGCTGAGAACTACATATAGACAGTATTAAATGTAATCTTCGTAAAAAAAATAGCGTAGCTAGTATTAGGAATTTATAAGAGAGACGACTTTATAGCCATTATGCGTATCATGTCACGTATATAGAATAATGAAAGGAAATAGTTTGGTAAATTGACATAAATAATTTATTCTTGTGGATGGCAGTGAAATACGATGAGAGTGATAGTATACACAATTTATAGAATTTTTTTTATGCAGGCGCTTTACACTCGTGCTCTGTCGCCAAAGTCATATATCTTCATATCTTTATTTCCGCATGAAGCGACCGTGTTAATTATCTCCCTTGTATAATAATAGAAAAAACTTATATTCGTAATATTACTGTGGATACAATGGAAAAGAGATGTGTTAATTATGCCATAATCTTACGGAAACGCAACCAAAATGTTGAAGAGTGAGCAACACAACGTTAGGTATATTTAGAGCTTACTTCATATACAGTAATGAAAACAGTTTCACAGATTAATTGCATTTGTATGCAAAAGGTAAGATATAAATAAATTTAAGCTACTTGCGTCGTGGAACTTTAAGTTCCAATTTTTTATTTCATGGGAATATTTAAAAAAGGGAAAAAATCGCTGCAAAGTATGAAATTGACGTACTTGCAAGCTGAAACATAAATTATATCACAGCAAGTCTAAAGTAAAATTATTCGATAAAGAGTTATTACAAGTGCCGAAGTTTTACCGTAGCAAAACCTTCGAATGACGGAATGAACAAGCCATTAATGACGATTGTGCAATGTCGCATGCTCCTTTGCATCACAAGCATCAATAATTTCTGTGCTTTCAACGGAGCTAGATACCATTGTACGTTATATCTAAAATATTTTTATTAGAGAAGCGTAACTGACAGTTTTTATTTTTCTCTAACCCCCTTTATTTGTCACGTAATATAGTCCGTACATTTTTCTTGCATTTAATATCCTTATCAACTAAAGGTTAATGTGATACTCACATTCTGTGAAAAATATCGCTGCTATAATCGATCACTTTCTGTCCCAAGTAGTTATAGAAAAACATGTACCAAAAATGACCAACGATGAAGAGAAAACTCATAATTATTTCACCGTATTCCTTGGACGTTATCAATCGAGAAAACTGTACCGCATCAATAAAACAAATGTGTTTATGTAGGGAAGAAATAGCAACAGTTGTATTGACAAATACAATGTAGATATAACATAGACATTATTTCGATAGATACTACCGAGGGGTAAACTGCTGAGAGCATTGCGGTGTACAGATTTGCGGCATTACTAGGAATTACTAGACATTTTTTGGGCATTAGTGGGTGTTATTTGGCCTTGCTAAGGCGTTATAAAGAATCTAAAAAGATAAAAAAGATAAAATAAGATAATATCCAGTGGGTCGAATTTTAATGCATTAGTAGGCATTGGTGATTTTTGGTCAGCGGTTTACCCCTCGGATACTTTTGATACTTCCCAAAATGTCTTAATTGTTGTATGGCATTAAATATGTATATATGAATAATTACTCACGCGATAAAGATTGACGCTCAGCGATAATACCCCTAAGGGCAACAGTAATGAATAAGCCCATGTATAACTTCTCTTTAACATATTGATAAACCTTATGCAATAATAAACTTTAAATACATGTTGAGAAAATATATTCACATGCAGGATGAGTCATAAAGGCGGTCCCAACCTTTTACCATAAGAGATGAATTACCGAGCGCTGTAGTCAATTGCGGTCAACTCGGGACAAAATGGATAAAATTTCATTCTACGTGTCTCAATCATGTAATATCTAATTATTTCTCGAGAGAAATGTAATTACATATTACATGAATGAGACATGTAGAACGGGATTGTATCCATTTTTTCCGAGTTGGCTACAGTCGGTAATTCACCTCTTATGGTAAAAAGTTGGGACAGCTTTTATGACTCACCCTGTATATAATTATATATAATATGTCAATAATATGCTATCGACTTATATTACTTCTCATAAAATCTAGTAAATTATATAAATTTGCGGGAAAATTAGAAGATTCGAGGACAAATCGTGCTACAGAATAATAAGCGTCTAATCATACACATGACAATTACACATCACGAACACAACAGTACGTATTACGAACTCGATTGCATTTTTGTACATATTGAAGCCATTGATTATCCCTTGACATATTATTGTATTTCTTTTGGTAAAAGATAGAGTATTGTATACCGCGTCTTTAAGCAATGCTTGTTCGATACGATAGCTGAAATTGATAATGTAATTGCAACACGTCCACAAGCGTCATTACAATCAAAATTGATTCATTTCTTGAAGTCTTAAATTTTGTTTTACCTAGCGATTTCAAATAAACCACACGCATGATGAGTGTATGACATATTAAGCGTTTCGGTGGCTACCACTGTAGTTAGACCACTCACGACGAAAATACCCATTACCGACAAAATGAGAAAAAAATGCTTTTGCTGATCTATAAAACATTCTATTAAGACCGGGAATTGTCGTAGACGTGATTCATTTTTACTGAATGTGATGTCCAGAAGAAAGTTTGATAGAAATTGTGACAGAATGAAGCAAAAAATAGACACATAGATGAACACTGTAATTAAACGATTAACGTCTGTATCGAAGTAACCGAAAGAAAAGTATAAAATAATGATATTAGATATATTGCTTACATGTCGTAATCAACGTAATAAATCTTCCAATATCTGAGAATTCTTTTATTATTTCAATTTCTTGTTTGTTGTTTAACGTATTCCAATCGTCAACCATTCGTTCCATCAGACCTCGCATCTGTGTTCGTAATATATTGGTTATTTATTGTGACTTCCCACAAATGTCACAAAGATTAATAATTATCATTCACTTATTTTAAGCTACTCTATAAGTATCTGCGTTTGATATCGTATATTCTTTTTCTTACCTGTCTTATATTTAAACAAAGAACATTGTATTTTAATGTGTAGGCGAGCCATGGGACGGTGTACGCGAGGATATGTAGAAGAACGTCTATATTATATTCTTTTGTGGTGAAAGTCATTAACTAGAAGATATGGCATTTTCCACTCAAATTATTTATACTTTTACATTAATGTTATCAATAATTCTTTTGGTTAGAACAGCTTTCAAGAAGTTATTCAAAATGCATACAAATAAGACGTATTTATTTAAATGCTACCACATTTGTTATAATTTAACGCTTATAATAAAAGCGGAATATCTTTTTCTTTATAATGAAAGTCATATGCATTAAGGTCTTTTAGTGTATTCAATTTTACTAATTCTTACATTAAACAGTATACAAAGAACATTAACGAGACGTAGCAAAAAACAAATTATCGTACCTGGAGTACTATGCTTAATATAAGTGTTATCGTTGTTGACACTATTGCGAAATATTTGAAAGTAGACCCTTGGTACGGCCATAGTCCGATACACAGTAATAAAATTCGATTTATTGTATAATAAGTGCTCACAGGGCAATCTTGCCATCTTTGTTCTAGGGTCATAACGCGTTTGTGCCGAATTTCTTTCCACGCGTTGCCTCGTAGGTTCGGCATGTTTGACAGCAGTTTATAATTCGATATTTTTACGATATTAAAATTTTCGATATTAGAATTCAAGTAAATTATTAAACTAGCAAAAAATTATACTTGAATACCTATAACTTACTATAATCATACAAATTATAGCTACTGCACTTATATTTCGCTAGTGTATGCATGTACAAGCCTCAAGTAAACGTTATTACTTGCGTGAACCGATTATCTGTTTTCTCAACGTATGCATTTGATATTTCTCTCCTAACGTTCGATCGACGCACGCGCAATTGAAAAGTCGCGCTTTCGCGTCTCTTCATTCTTATTTGTGGCATGATACGCTCCAGTATTCCTCTTACGGTATTAGAAAGATCACTGTGCGGTTTTAATCCTTAGAACTGTGACTTGTGCGTCCTTGGCGCGCATCGTTAAGATTGTGTTATTATTATAATAATGTGAAGATTTATTTTCAATTATGAACATCCGATTATGTATTATACATACTCTTTTCACGTTAGAAGGACATATTTGTAATTTTATTGTGAATATTATGCGGTGGTAATTATACTAATTATACTACATCTTGTCAAAGAGTAATCAAAAAGTTAAAATATCTCTACAACATATTTTTATTTTACGTACAATAATGCATTTTAGATTAAAGTAGATTAATGCATCTGTACTGTTATATTTATATGTAAAACGTATGCTACAAATATATTAGAACTACTCGTGTCGTGGAATTTTAATCCTGATTTCTATTTTCTGCGGATAATTAAAATAGAGAAACAATCAATGCAAAATATGAAATGGACGTACTTACAAGCTGAAATAGAAAGTATGTTATAGCAAATCTCAATTTATTATAATTATATTAGCAAAAATATTGGATAAAGTATTATTGCAAGTGCCAAAATTTTACCGTAGCAAACCCTTCAAATGATGGAATAAACAAGGTAAACATGACCATTGTGCAATGTCGTATGCTCCTTTGCATTATAAGCATCAATAATTTTTGTACTTTTAACGGAGCTAGATACCATTTTACGTTGTATCTAAAATTGTTATTAGAGAATCATAACTGAAAAATTTGATTACGTCATAGATTTATTTTTCCTTAACTTTTTATTTATTGCGTGTTTATATCCCGCACGTTTTCCTTGTATTTAATATCCTTGCTAAGGATTGATGTACAGTGTAATATATACAATACTTACATTTTATGAAAAATATCGCTACTATGATCGATCACTTTTTGTCCAATGAAGTTAACGAAAAACATATGCATAAAATGACCCACGATGAAGATAATACTTATAAACGTTTCATTGTAATCCTTGGACGTTATTAATCGAGATAACTGTGTCACATATATAAAACTAATTTGTTTTGGCAGATAACAAATAGTAACAGTTGTATTTGCGGATGCAATACAGGCAAAATATAGATATTATTTCGATGGATATCACCTCCGATAAATATATGTTAGTTATTGTATGCTATGATACATATTAATAATTACTCACGCGATAAAGATTAATACTCAGCGATAATACTCCAAAGGGTATTAATAATGAATACGCCAATGCATAATTGCTCTTCAACATTTCGATGAACCTTAAAGAATAATATATTTTAAATAGGTGTCGAGAAAATATATTCACATCAATGACTATAAATAACTTGTCAATTAGAAACTTAAGACTGCTAAGAGTACGTACTTAGTATTTTTTTATTGTTTCTTTAAGAATTAGAAAAGTAGTTACTGGTACATAACGTGCCATTTGTTGTAAACAATATTACATGAATTTTAGGCAATTTTATTAGGCTGTTTACTTTGATATTTAGTATCATAACATTGAAAATCAAAACGTGCAAATTAATGCTCTTAGACCACCGGTCGGATAAGAGTACGCATCACATTTGCTAAGAGTATGCACCTGTGACTTTTACTTTTATTATTTTATGACTTATATTTATTACATAGTTCATACTTTCTATTACATTTACTAAACTTATTCCATTGTTAGAAGATTAGGAGAATCGCTACCTATCCAAGAATTTGGGGAAGAAAGCGCACTCCAAAACTATTGCCGCGAAACAAAGCAATTTTCACCAATCGAGAATTTCGCTAACAAAATGTCGTATATTTAATTTAATTACTAAAAGAACAAATGTTAATTTAATTTAAAATTAATACTTTGTTTCAAAGTTTTAATTATAAAATGTAGCCGTATAAACATTTAAAACCGAGGTATAAAACAGGATACTTTTAAATGAAGTAAATATTTATTGTTCAAGTAGAGAACATCGCGGTAAAACCACCAGTACATAGTTTGGGGTCAAGAGTACGTGCGTACTCTTGGGTTAAAAAGTAATACGTACTCTTGGCCGACGTGACAGCATTTCATAAAACTATAAGAGAGTACTAGAGAGTACATACACACATTAACACGACAGCATGGGTTTCATACCATTTATTAACATACAGAACAGGCTTCAAAACCATATAAATCTTTACATAACACCTCAAAAAATTATTACTTAAGTAATAATATCAAAATATAATAAAAAATTGAAATGTAACAAAAGTTAATTATCTGTAATTTCTAAAGAAAAATTAGTTGAAAGAGATGATATACGCAGTAACATAAACTATTAGAGATTTTAATAACTCACATTTAGAAAATCATAGTGCCGACATAAATCTATATCTATGTATAGTGCGTACTCTTAGAAAATGCGTACTATTAGCAGCCCTTACCCTATATCTTGATGATTTATATGAATTCTCGCATAAAATCTCGTAAGCTTTACAAATTTTTTTGTAAAATTATAAGATTCGAAGACAAGTCGCTTTGTAGAATAAAAAAACTTGTAATCATACATATGACAATTACGAACTCAATCGCTATTTTGTACATATTGAAGCCACTGATTATTCTTTGGTATAGTATGGATTTTTTCTCGGTAGAAGACGCATTACCTTGTACCATATCTTTCAGGAATGCTTGTTCTATGCGATAACTAAAATTTAAAATGTAATCGCGATATATTTGCAAGGACTATTAAGAACCTGATTCATTTCTTAAAGTCGTGAACTTTGTTTTACCTTGCTATTTCAAATAAACCACACGCATGATAAGCATGTGATAGACTAAGCGTTTCGGTGGCTACCATTGTGGTCATACCACTCATGACAGCCAAACTTAGTAACAACAAAAGCGGATAAAAATACTTTTGCTGATCTATAAAACATTCGAATAAGATCGGGAATTGTCGTAGATGTGATTCGTTTTTACTCGACGTGATGTCCAGAAGAAAGTTTGATAAAAATTGCATCAGAATGATGCAACCACCAAGTACATAGATGATCACTATAATTAGACGATTAAAGTCTGAATCGAAATGTAAAGTATACAAAAATGATTTGAGATATATTGCTTACATGAGGTAATTAATGTGATGAATCTTCCAATATTTGAGTATTCTTTTATTATTTCAATTTCTTGTTTGTTGTGTAACTCATTCCAATTTTTAAGCATTTGTTCCATCAGGCTTCGAATCTGTGTTCATAATATAATGACTATTATTATTTCCCAAAAACGCCTCAAATAAGATTAATAATTATGATTTATTTGTCGTAAGATTCTCCGTAAGAATCTCCATTTGATACCGTTTTCTTACCCCTTTTATGTTTAAGCAGAGAACATTATACTTTATTGCATAGCCTAACCATCCGATGCTGTACGCGAGGACACGTAGAAGAATGCCTATAGTATATTCTGTTGTGACGAAAGTCAATAGCTAAAAATTATATTTTCCTTTTAGATCATTTCTAATGTGACGTTAATGTCATCGATAATTCTTTCGGTTAGAATAGCTTTAAAGACACGGTGGAAAAATTTATGTTAAATTTAACAGATGTCACATGTCCCAAACGGTTCACATAAATTTTTGTGTTAATTTAACATAATATGGATATGTTAAATGATCACACTAATACTCTGTTAATATTTTCACACAAAATAAATGCATGTCTCCAGATAATTTGAGATACGTTTTGTGTAAAATTAACATATTTTTAATGATAAAAAAAAATTTTTTAATTGTAATTTTTACATTTTACAAATGTAATAAGTGGCGGTTCAAAATCTCTCTCACTTATGTTATATAGAATAAGATCAACATTTTATTCTGTACATTTTAACAGATAACTCTTTTACTAATAATATAGAACATATGTATTGTGTAAGATTAAAAAATAAGTATGCATTGTGTTGTTTAAACAGTTCTTTTCAGTTATTTGAATAATTTTAATAATTTTGAGGTCAATTAACACAAGAGCAATATGTTAAATTAACACATGAATATGTTAAACATTTAACACAAAAATTTTAACTGGCATTTTTTAAAATAAGAAAACACAATTTTTCCAACTGTGTATTATTCAAAATACAATAAAAAAGGTTCGTTTTATATATTACCATTTGTTATAATTTAACAATTGTAATGACGAATTACTTCTTTTAGACAAAGAATAGTTATACATTAAAGCCTTCTAGTGTAATTTGTTTTACTAATTTCTATATTTTAAGTATATAGGACATAAATGAGAGATAAAAATGTTTTAGTACCTGAATTACTACGCCTATTACTAGCAATCCACTTGTTGTTAATATTACGATATATCTGAGAGTAGAGGTGTAATACGGCCATAAGCCGACACATAGTAATAAAATTCGATTGATTGTATAGTAGGTGTTCACAGGGCAATCCTGCCATCTCAGTGCTGGTGTCATAACGAGTCCGCCAAATTCTTTTCACGAACTACCTCGTAGGTTCCATGCATTTGATCAAAGTTTATATATAATTCAGTCTACAAATTTAAATAAACTGTTGTATTAGCTAAAAATTACAATAAACTACTTATAGTTTAGGGCAATCATACAAATTATAGCTTTAGTACATATTTGACTAGTGTGTGTGTCCATTACCTTAGGGTAAACATTATTACTTGCGTGAACCGATTATCTGTTTTCTCAGCGTATTTTATGTTTCTCTCCTAACGTTCGATCGACGCAAGCGCAATCGAAAAGTCGCACTTTTATGCCTTTCGCGTCTCTTCATTTCAGTTCGAGACACGGTACGTTATAGTACGTCTCTTGCGAGTTGTTGTGCTTGCGCATTAACATCTTTCCAGATTAGAAACTCATTGACTGGAAAGATCATTGTGTGGTTGTTGGATCTGCAATCTGTGTTTCGTGTTTGGTGATTATCGTGAAGATTATGTTATTAATACAGTGGAAACTTATTTTGACTTACATCCAAACTTTAAATCCCAGTAAGCGGTCATAACTAGAGACCCTCTGGTCAGAGTCTGACCATACGGAAGCACGCTGTGATTGATCCGCCATTTTTCGTCAATTCGCGCCAGTTTCATTAAGCAGTAATTATTCAGTTTAGGTCCCTCACCTCCAAAATGGAATGAAATTAGTCTCAAAGCGACTTCGCTTGTGTCACAAGTCGAAAATATACGCGTAGACATCTCATCTATACTGTTATTGCGACAAATTAATATTTGTCATATGCCTCGGTGGTCGAATTGGTGAGACGCCCGCCTAAAGTGTAGGGAGATCCAGGATCAAACCCTGGCTAAGGTAATATTTAATATTATATAAAAATAATATTTTTCGCAATAAATTTTCTGTGTTAAAAACACGTCGCCAGTCATGGTCGATTAGAAACTTGATCATTATTAGTCATTTGCTAGCGTCAAACAATTCTTGAAAGATAAAACGACTCACTGTGTTACACAGTGTCGCCTGTGTACGCTGCTAGAGAGCACCCTCTGATTAGAGGGAAACCAAAGTAGAGGGTCCAAGCCTCGGAGTCCGAAATTCGCTCTTACGAACTTGCGATTATCTGACGATAAATCTCGGGTATGATCAGGAATCTTTTCCTTTAGTGTAAACTCGTGAAAAGCGAAAAATTTCATTGACGAGTATTGAGTTCGTCAATGAAGTACCAAAATTAATCAGATATTCGTTAAATTTCGTTTTCTTTGAAACTTGTTGACAAACTTACGATGTACGATTTAATTCGCGCGTACTCATGTGTAATAAATAAACGAATTTTCTACGAAATATAAAAAGGAATCATTCATATTTAATTTCTCGTAATCAATCTCGTATGAAATGTGTACTTACGTTTCGTGGTATAATTGACCAAATCTCGTGACATGATTGACCAAACCCCGTGGAATGATTGACGAGACTTCGTGGCACTTTGTATAACACCTCAGCATTAATCACACGCGACAGGAAATTAAGGAAACACAAAAAATCTACGATCGCACGAAGTTAGTATTTGCACTCGGTATTCCTTGTAAATTTAACTGATGGTATGAATTTTAATCAACAGAAATCGATGTATAAATGTCAAAGTTAAACTATCGATGAGTAAGTATTACAATTATATAATTAAGCACGGACAAGAAATTAATTGATATTTAATTTTTCAATTAAACGTATCGCGATGTTCGACTCAAAGTTCTGCATTCTGACCAGCACTTGCATGATTCCGTACCGATAAATTCTAGTTAAAGCACTCGATTCAATATTTCGTGTATTATTTCGTGCTTTCAACCTAGGAACAGCCAACAAGTTATACTCGAAACGACGAGAGATTCAATGCGACGATACGAGATGTGTCCGAATACGAGCATCGATTAAAGAGGCAATTATCGTCCATAATTATCGCAATGAAGAAGAAATTTTAAGTCAGTTAGCGCTTTGATTCTTGGACCTACAGATCTCATATGTGAATCGCACAAGATACTTGTCTCGCCGGTTATTGATGGTAAATCGCGAGGATTCAGCGATCACGCGACGATATCGATCGCTGATTATTCGCAGAGAGCGATCGCGATTTCTTCCCGTACTTTGCGCAAACGCGTATCAAGAAAAGAATAATACGATATACAGAGCGGCGCGGGCCACTAACCGACTCGTTCGCCGCGTGAATAATTTTTTGCGTACGGAGTAACCTATTGCTTCCCCGAGCGCCGTTGATCGAGCGGTGATGACGTAGCGCCGTAAACACCTCGATCGAAAACAGTTTATTCTCATTATGCCTAATCATTCGGCGCGGCACAGTCGAGCGAACAGGATGTTCTACGTGTCTTCGCGTCGCTTCTCGCAACGCGATCAATTTTTACGAGAATCTCGATCATTTCTTACGCGACGCGATCGTATCCCACGAGAGTTATTAACATTTATCAATCGCGTTTAATTAATTGCCGCGATACGTAATCTTATTGTTGATTTCTCGATTGCGGTGATTTGTCGAGACACACGTAATTTGAAGTGGAAGTGCGATAAGGGAATTACATATATAAATTATTAGGTAGTTTCGATAATGGTATCTACGAGCGCTAATACCTTTTTTAACGATCGATCTCGGATAAATCTCTCCCATGTCGTGCTTTAATATTTTTGTCGGTTTAAGTCAAACATTTATCACTTTCAGATTAAAAGCGTAAAGTAACGCACGAATCACCGGGTAAAATGATAACGAAAAATTATAATAATATATCGATCGCTTGCCAAGAAATAATAATGTTTTTAACATTTACACGTACAAATTACGCGTATAACATGAACTTTTCATCTTCGGTCAGTTTAAATCCTGGTTTAATTGGACGCAGTTGTGCAATGCGAAATTAATTCTAAAACTTTACACCTTTGATAGGACAAATTTCGTGAAATATTAGAAATAAACTGTGCGAACATTATATATGAAATATGTATGACCAATCTATAATCGTTTTCAAATTCTTTTTTTTTATTGAGGTAACGAATCTACATCTCGTAGATCATACAATAGATCGATACATTCTGTAGATTCGTTGAAAATGGATAGATTACAACATAATTTCATTATGTATTTGAAATATTTAATCCATCGAAGAGGAGTAGTCGCGATTTTTATTGTCGAGGGTTAAAGTGCCCCGTTGCAGAACCAGAATTAATTCCTGGTTTACTTCTGTTTTGGACCCCCGGAAGCAGTGGTTTCGGCACGAGTACGTGACGTCGATTCGCGAAATTAATTAGAATAAGAGATAAAAAAGAAAAGGAAAAGAGAAAAAGGAAAAAAATAGAAAATCATGATCCATATAAGGAATATTGCAATAGTGAAAATGTACGAGTTAATGATTGAAAACCGACCGTCGTTAACTTTCTGCCAAAATGACTGCTATCGGGGACAATCCGGAAGATCTAGGATTCATTCCTTCCTACAGCGGGGCCTTTGACGTTCAACGGGTTTTTGAATTTTCTTTCACATTCTTTTGATTTCATGGAGCTCTACAAATCAGAGCGTATTGAGCTCATTTTCTATGTTGGAAATCGTTGAACCACATCGCCGAAATTACGCGAATAGGGCGAATAATTTATTAATGTATTCGTCGAGCTAATACACTTGTAACATATCCATTTTTGATCAACCTATTGATATGTAAAGTAAAATAATATGACGTGAGGTTCTAAATGTTTTGTCGAGAATGTTGAAATATTTGAAATTATTATTATATATTATTGGCAGTTATTGATTACCTATAATATCCAATTACCATATCGCTCTCTACCATGTGAGAAAGTTCTTTAATTCTAGATCTCACGTCATTTATTCGGTATATTTTGCGACACTGTCAAGATGCGTGTCGCATGAGCAACATGTATAATCATACGCATCTTCATACATCCGCGTTCGGTTTACGCGATCGGTTTTTAAAAACATTTCCATGATATTAATACTCTTTTAATTTAATCCATATTAGAAATGTTACTTTATCGCGGAATACAATTAATATTATATAACGCGAAGTAAAATGTTTTTTTGCGTATAGACTTGAATTTTGAATTCAAAGATTGAGTCACGAAGAGACGGTCAATACTCTCGAGTAAATAACGGAAGCAGAAATATATTTAATTAGTAGTTTTATGCAGTAAATTTTTTCAACTTAAAATTCTTTTTCAATTAACTTCTTGTAGTCATGCATTTTTCGATACAATCGACATTTGCCTAAGATTTAAATCGTACGTAACATCTGTCGGTGACAATAACAAACTGACTATGGGAGGAATTTTCTTCCTTCCTGATCTCTGATCAAAACAATTAGACTGTATGGCCAGGAGGAACGAAAGGTATGTCCAATCTGGCCCAACGAAAGAAGACTGGATACGACGAGGTAAGTGGTCAATATTGGCCACTCTGATGGAGTATGTAAGTAAGGTGATAAACGAATAATTTAATTTCTTTTCATTTGTCAAAATTCAGGTGAGTTATTCGTCTTTGTACATATGTATATTCTTGCATATGTGCGAGATTGATAAGATTAAAACCTAATTGCGCGCGCATTGTAACATATACAAAAAATTACACATAAAATAGAAGAATTTATTATTATATATTATTTGGTCGTCATTAGAGCCAGTATAAACTGCAATTACTGCACAGTTTATCTGTTTACTTTGGAAGAAATGTAGAATTTGCATGGACACATGTGCAGTTGCAAAGACACAACGATAGTGTAAGCAGATATCACGATTTCTTTTTCGACATCAGGCTACTATAAGGTACGTTTTGATGAGAGAAATAATGTGCACACACAGTTTCCTTTATTTTTACGATGCAAACTTTCATGTTCAGTCGCTAGTTACACCTTCTTTGCAATAATAGACTAACTTATATTTGTAATATCTATTATGGTCAATATAATGAAAAATGCGGCAGAAACTGTATTAAATGAGCAGAAAGAAAGTTAAAATAATACTATATTATAATTCTATGTTTATTTTACGCTATAATATAAGAACTTCCGAAAGAAGGCTAATGTATCTGTATTATTATCTGTTTATACAAAAATATGGTACGAATGTATTACTTACGCTGTGAAATGGAGCTTCAAATTTTATTTTATACAAACAATCAAAAGAGAGAAACAATGATTGCAAAGTATGAAACTGACGTGCTTACAACCTGAAATATAAATTATATATATTATAGTATAGCAAATCTAGTGTAGAAATGTTCGATAAAGGTTTATTATATGTGCCGAAATTTTACAGTGGCAAATCCTTCGAATGACGAAGTGAACAAGCCACCAACGATGATTGTGCAATGTCGTATGCTCCTTTGCATCATAAGCATCAATAATTTCTGTGCTTTCACCGGAGCTACATACCATTGTACGTTATATCTACAATAATGTTATTAGATAATCATAACTGTAAGTTTCGATAATATTGTAGATTTATTTTGCTATCTTTATTTGTGATACAGTCCGTACACTTTACTTGCATCTAATATCCTTATTAACTAAAGATTAATTGTATAATACTCACATTCTGTGAAAAACATCGCTGCTATGATCGATCACTTTCTGACCCAAGTAGTTACAAAAAAACATGTACCAAAAATGACCAACGACGAAAAGAAAACTCATAATCATTTCAATGTATTCCTTGGACGTTATCAATTGAAACAACTGTATCACATAAATAATACTAAGCTGCTTTTGTAGTGAAGACATAGTAACAGTTTTATTGGCGAATACAATATTATAGAAATAATATAGATATTATTTCAACAGACAATACTTAATTTAATCGAAATATAATAATTACCGTATGGTAGTAAAGGTATGTTAACAATTACTCACGCGATAAAGATTAATGCTCAGTGATAGTATTCCGAATGGCAACAGTAATGAATACGCCCATGAATAAGTTTTCTTCAACATTTCGATAAACCTCATATAACAATAAATTTTAAATATACGTAGGGAAAATATGATCACATAAATGATTATACAATCAGTCACAGAAAAAGCGGTATAGTAGAAAAATAGATCAAAATTATGAAACCTCAAATGCTTACGCAATATTGCATTATGAAAGGAAGAATTTTATATACATATACGTGCTTATTATCTCATTGAGCTATGATTCACTCCGTGCAACATGAGAAACTTATTTTTCTATTAATCAATTTTGCAGGGTTTTCTTTGTCACCCGCCATTGGAAAACTGATCAATTCTTGCACTGGACATTCAAATTTTCACAAAATATAAGCTTCAAGTTTTAGTTTTCTTTTTGAAACACGTTAATGTCATAATTATTAGCTGCATTTATAATTTCATAATTATTTCCTTAATTTTATAATTTCTATTTTTCTACTGTACTGCTCTTTCTTTGACTGAGCGTATCTAATTTGTTAATATATGCTAATGATTTATGTTATTTCTCATGAAAAATTTAGTAAATTATGTAAATTTGTTGAAAAATTAAAAGATTCGAGGACAAATCGTACTACAGAATGACAAAACTTCTTAATCATACACATGACAATTACACATCACAAAGACAATAACACACATTACGTACTCGATTGCTGTTTTGTACATATTGAAGCCATTGATTATCCCTTGACATATTATTGTATTTCTTTCGGTAAAAGATAGAATATTATGTACCGTGCCTTCAAGAAATGCTTGTTCTATACGGTAGCTGAAATTGATAATGTCAACACGTTCATAAGCATCGTTAAAATAAAAATTCATTCATTTCTTTAAGTCCTAGTCTTTGTTTTACCTAGCGATTTCAAATAAACCACACGCATGATAGGTATATGACATATTAAGCGTTTCGGTAGCTACCACTGTAGATAGACCATTCAGGATGCCAAAACAAATTATCGACAAAATGAAAAAAAAATGCTTTTGCTGATCTATAAAACATTCGATTAAGATCGGTAATTGTCGTGTTCGCGATGCATTTTTACTTGATATGATGTCCAGAAGATAGTTTGATAGAAATTGTGATAGAATGAAGCAAAGAATAGATACATAGATGAACACTGCAATAAACCGAATAAAGTCCGAATCAAATGCAAAGTATAAAAAAGGATTTGAAATATATTGAAACAATATGTGGTAACACGCCAATGTGGGTCACAAGGCAAGATGTAGGTAGCCCAACTTGTAAATCTTAAATCTTTTCGAAAATCGTGAATCTTTTCGAAAAGATTTAAGATTTACAAGTTGGGCTACCTACATCTTGCCTTGTGACCCACATTGGCGTGTTACCATATATTGTTTCGTTTTAGATAGGGGTCTTACTTGAAAGTTACTTGAAATATATTGCTTACATGTCGTAGTTAATGTGATGAATCTTCCAATATCTGAGTATTTTTTTATTATTTCAATTTCTCGTTTGTTGTGTAACTTATGCCAATTTTTATGTATTTGTTCCATCGGGTTTCGAATCTGTATTCATAATATAATCATTATTTATTATTATTTCCCAAAAAAGTATCAAATAAGATTAATAATTATGATTATTTGTCCTAAGTTTCATCGTAAGAAACTCCGTTTGATATGGTATATTCTTACCCCTCTTATGTTTAAGCAGAGAACATTATACTTTAATGTATAGCCTAACCATATCATGCTGTACGCGAGGACATGTAGAAGAAGGTCTATGTTATATTCTTTTGTGATGAAAATCGCCAGCTAAAAATGATATTTTTGATTCAAATCATTTCTAAATATTAAAGTTAACGTTATGGATAATTATTTCAGATAGAACAGCTTTAAAGAAATTATCCAAAATACAAATAAGTAACGTTCGTTTAAATATGACCATTTGTTATAATTTAACGTTTGTAATAATGGACTACTTTTCTTTAGAAAAAGAATAGTCATACATTAAAGTCTTCTAGTGTAATTTGTTTTATTAATTTCTAGATTTTAAGTATATAGGACATAAATGAGAGATAAAAATGTTTTAGTACCTGAAGTACTACGCCTATTACTAGCGATCCAGTTGTTGTTAATATTACGATATATCCGAGAGTAGAGTTTTGATACGGCCATAAGCCGACACATAGTAGTAAAATTCGATTAATTGTATAGTAGGTGTTCACAGGGCAATCCTGCCGTCTCAGTACAGTCATATCGTGTTCGCCAAAATTCTTCTCACAAACTACCTCGTAGGATCCATGTATTTGATTATAGTTTATAATTCAGTCTATGAATTCAAATAAACTGTTGAATTAGCATAATATTACAATAGAGTACCTATAGTTTATCACAATCATACAAATTATACCTTTAATACATATTTGACTAGTATTTGTATCCATTATCTTCGGATGAAGATGATTACTTGCGTGAATCAATTATCTGTTTTCTCAACGTATACATTTGATATTTCTCTCCTAATGTTCGATCGACGCAAGCGCAGTCGAAAAGTCGCGTTTTTATGTCTATCGCGTCCCTTCAGTTCTATTCGAGATACGATACGGTGTACTTCTCGTGCGATATATTGTGTTAGCACATTAACATCTTTCTAGATTAGAAATCCATTAAGTAGAAAGATCACTGTGCGTTTCTAATCTTTGGAAGTGTGATTTATGGATCGTGCTTGGCGATCATCGTGAAGAGTGTTATTATAATAATACTGTAAAGACTTATTTTGACTTACATCCAAACTCTAAATCTCAGTAAGTTGTCATAACTAATGATTTAATGTATTAGTTATATTGTAATATAACTATGTAGTGTGCTATACGTAATATACTATGTAAGGTTTATAACTAACTATATATATAACATAAAAAATCTGCTTTTATATATTGTAGAATTATTTCTATTAAATTAATTTTGTGGATTAAAAATTAAATTGCTCTTAATACGTGAATAAATACGTTTTGTAATAAAAAATAACGGTGATAATGTTAATGTATAATAATGGATTAATTTTTTCTAATCGGTTAATGTTATAATTTTGAAAGAAAAACCAAAAGCAATAAAAAGTTTTTTATTTAATTTATTTAAAATTAATTGATAAGATGTGCAATAAAATTATTAATATTGCATATCATAAAACGGATGAATTTCGTGAAACTTAATTTTTGTTTATGTATTATAAAAGTTAATAGATAGAATCTACATAGATTGATTGTACTCATATTAGTAATTTGTAATAACAGTAACAGAATTGCATTGGTCTATGTGTTTGTCTCATGATAAATTAGATTTTACAACAATCTCTAAGTGGTATAAATTCTTATAATATAAGGAGAAATAATATATGTATATAACATGTGAATCTAATAGCGAAAATTTTACTTTGGCATCACCAGAGATACAAACAAATTATTCTCGGTATTCCACGTGTTAATTAACACTTTATGAAGGATCGTTGCTATGATCGATCATCTCTAGTCCTAAAGAGATTGAGAAGAACAGATACCAAAAATGACACATAAAATAGAAGAGTTTATTATTATGTAACATTCGGTCGTTATAAGAGCCAGTAAACGGCAATTACTGCACAGTTTATCTATTTACTTTGGAAGAAATGCAGACTTTGCATGGACACATGTGCAGTTGCAAAGATACAACAATAGTGTAAGCAGATATCATGATTTCTTTTTCGACATCTGACTAATATAATATAAGATACGTTTTGATGAGAGTAATAATGTGTATATACAATTTTCTTTATTTTCACGATGCAAGCTTTCATGTCGTGTTCAGTCGCTAGATACACCTTTGTAATAATAGAGAAACTTATTTATGTAATATCTATTATTGTCAATATAATGGAAAATGCGGCTGAAATTGTATTATATGAGCAGTCAAAAAGTTAAAATGATACTACATTATACTTTTATGTTTATTTTACATACAATAATACAAATACTTCAGAAAGAAGGCTAATGTATCTGTATTATTATCTGTTTATACAAAACATTTGGTACAAATGTACTACTTGCGTTGCGGAATTGAGCTTCAATTTTTATTTTATGCAAACAATCAAAAGAGAGAAAAAATCACTGCGAAGTATGAAATTGAGGTGCTTACAAGCTGGAATATAAATTATTTATATTATAGTATAGCACAAATCTAGTGTAGAAATGTTTGAGAAAGGTTTATTATATGTGCTGAAATTTTACAGTGGCAAATCCTTCGAATGACGGAATAAACAAGCCTCCAACGAGGATTGTGCAATGTCGTATGCTCCTTTGCATCATAAGCATCAATAATTTCTGTGCTTTCACCGGAGCTACATACCATTGTACGTTATATCTACAATAATGTTATTAGATAATCATAACTGTAAGTTTCAATAATATTGTAGATTTATTTTACTATCTTTATTTGTGATAGAGTCCGTATATTTTACTTGCACCTAATATCCTTATTAACTAAAGATTAATTATATAATACTCACATTCTGTGAAAAACATCGCTGCTATGATCGATCACTTTCTGACCCAAGTAGTTACAGAAAAACATGTACCAAAAATGACCAACGACGAAAAGAAAACTCATAATTATTTCACTGTATTCCTTGGACGTTATCAATCGAGAAAGCTGTATCACATAAATAATACTAAGCTACTTTCGTAGTGAAGAAATAGTAACAGTTTTATTGGCGAATACAATATTATAGAAATAATATAGATATTATTTGGACAGATAATACTTTTAATCGAAATATGATAATTACCGTATGATAGTAAATGCATGTTAACAATTACTCACGCGATAAAGATTAATGCTCAGTGATAGTATTCCCAATGGCAACAGCAATGCATACGCCCATGTATAACTTTTCTTCAACATTTCGATAAACCTTATATAACAATAAATTTTAAATATACGTAGGGAAAATATGATCACATAAATGATTATACAATCAGTCACAGAAAAAGCGGTCTAGTAGAAAAATAGATCAAAGTTATGAAACCTCAAAGGCTTACGCAATATTGCATTATGAAGGGGAGAATTTTATATACATATACGTGTTTATTATCTCATTGAGCTATGACTCACTCCGTGCAACACGAGAAACTTAGTTTTCTATTAATCAATTTTGCAGGTTCTTCTTTGTCACCCGCCATTGGAAAACTGATCAATTCTTGCACTGGGCATTCAAATTTTCACAAAATATAAGCTTCAAGTTTTAGTTTTCTTTTTGAAACACGCCAATGTCATAATTATTAGCTGCATTAAAAATTTCATAATTATTTCCTTAATTTTATAATTTCTATTTTTCTAGTGTACCGCTCTTTCTTTGACTGAGCGTATCTGATTTGTTAATAATATATGTTAACGATTTATGTTAATTTTCACGTAAAATTTAGTAAATTATGTAAATTTGCTGGAAAATTAAAAGATTCACGACTCGTACTACAGAATGATAAAACTTCTTAATCATACATATGACAATTACACATCACGAAAACAACAACACACATTACGAACTCGATTGCTGTTTTGTACATATTGAAGCCATTGATTATCCCTTGACATATTATTGTATTTCTTTCGGTAAAAGATAGAGTATTATGTACCGCGTCTTTAAGCAATGCTTTTTCTATACGACAGCTGAAATTGATAATGTAATGGCAACACGTTCGTAAGTATCGTTAAAATAAAAATTCATTCATTTCTTCAAGTCCTAATCTTTCTTTTACCTAGCTATTTCAAATAAACCACACGCATGATAGGTATATGACATATTAAGCGTTTCGGTAGCTGCCACTGTAGTCAGACCACTCACGATGCCAACAGAAAGTAGCAACAAAATAAATAAAAAATACTTTTGCTGATCTATAAAACATTCGATTAAGATCGGTATTTGTCGTGTTCGCGATTCATTTTTACTGGATATGATGTCCAGAAGATAGTTTGATACAAATTGTGATAGAATGAAGCAAAGAATAGATACATAGATGAACACTGCAATTAAACGATTAAAGTTCGAATAAAATGTAAAGCATAAAAAATGATTTGAGATTTAATGCTTACATGTCGTAAGTAATGTGATGAATCTTCCAATATCTGAGTATTCTTTTATTATTTCAATTTCTTGTTCGTTGTGTAATTCATTCCAATTTTTAAGCATTTGTCTCATCAGGTCTCGCATCTGCGTTAATAATATAATGACTATTTATTATCATTTCCCCAAAAATGTCTCAAATCAGATTAATAATTATGGTTTGTTTGTCTTAAGTTTCTCCGTAAGAATCTCCGTTTGATATGGTATATTCTTACCCCTCTTATGTTTAAGCAGAGAACATTATACTTTAATGTATAGCCTAACCATGGGACACTGTACGCGAGGATATGTAGAAGAATGTCTATATTATATTGTGTTGTGATGAAAGTCGTTAGCTAAAAGTGATATTTTTCACTCAAATCATTTATATTTTAATGTTATGGATAAGTCTTTCGGTTAGAATAACCACGAAGTAGTTATTCAAAATACATACAAATAAGAAAAGTTAGTTTAAATATTACCACATTTGTTACAATTTAATGTTTGTGGTAAGAACAGAATGTCCTTGATTTAATCGATCTTCTTACCTGAAGTACTATGCTTAATACAAGCAATATTGTTGTTAACACTATAGCGATATATCTGAAAGTAGACTTTTGAAACGGCCATAATCCGATACATAGTAATAAAATTCGATTAATTGTATAGTAAGTGTGTACAGGGCCATTCTGCCATCTCAGTGCTAGTGTCATAACGCGTTTGTGCCGAATATCTTTTCACGTGTGGCCTCGTAGGGTTGGCATGTTTTATTGTAATTTATAATTCGATATTTCTACTAATTCAAATAAACTATTGAAATAGCACAAAATTATGATAGAATACCTGTAGTTTATTATAATCATATAAATTATTGCTTTAGTACATATTGGCTCTGTTCGTGGTTCTATGAGCCTCAGGTAAACATTACCTGCGTGAACCAATTATCTATTTTCTCAGCGTATGCATTTGATATTTCTCTCCTAACGTTCGATCGACGCAAGCGCAATTGCAAAGTCACACTCTCATGTCTCTCGCGTCTCTTCATTTCTATTCGAGACAGAGTGTCTTGCAGTAGTTCTCTTGTGATATACACATATGTGCTAGCATCTTTCTATTAGAAATTTATTAACTAGAAAGATCACTGTGCGGTTATAATCATTGGAACTGCGATGTGTTGTGTCGTAAAGATTACGTTGCTATACCAATACTGAAGACTTATTTTGAATTACATCCAAACTCTAAATTTCAGTAAGCTGTCATAACTACTGATTTAAAATATTATAATTCGATGTAATATAAGTAGGCTGAAAGAGTTAACCGTGTCATGAAAAATGTGCATTTATAGACTAGTATTTCTATTTAATTATTTTCTCGTGTTATAAGATTAAATTGTATAAAACATAAAATAGGTTTAGCAACTATCAAGAGTGGCGACAGTATTTTATACAGGGTGGGGCTTTTATCTTGAGACAATAATATATCTCAGTTGGAATAGATTATTTCGAAAAAAGTTTCAGACAAAAGTTGTTTGGTTCCGAGGGGGCCATAAGATGGTACCATTGGTTTGACCTTGAAGAATTATTTGAAGGTCACATAAAGGTCACACCAATTTTTTAAAATGGCATCCCCTATTTTTTATTACATATTCTTGTAGCTGACCTCGAGAGCTTTCCAAAACGCTATAATAAATTATTTTTTATTAAGAACTTTTTGAATTATTAAGGTTTGAAAGTTGCAATATTTTGACGTAAATTACAAAATATCTTGTAAAATATTCATTTTTTTATCATCTTACCTTAATACTTTTTTGAACAGAATAATGAGACAAATCAACTGGTATAAAGAAAACACACAATTGTTAAAAAAAACATGTTTTTATTACTTGTTACAAAATTCTTCAAGGTCAAACCAATGGTAGCATCTTATGGCCCCCTCGAAACCAAATAACTTTGTCTGAAACATTGTTCTCTCCCGGGCTTGGTTTTCGAGATATTTGAGATAAACAAGAGTTTATTGTTGTGTAATATTCGGTCGTTATAAGAGCTAGTAAATGGCAATTACTGCACAATTTATCTATTTACTTTGGAAGAAATGCAGACTTTGCATGGACACATGTGCAGTTGCAAAGGTACAACAATAGTGTAAGCAGACATCATGATTTCTTTTTCGACATCTGACTAATATAAGATACGTTTTGACGAGAGTAATAAAGTGTATATACAATTTTCTTTATTTTCACGATGCAAGCTTTCATGTCGTGTTCAGTCGCTAGATACACCTTTGTAATAATAGAGGAACTTATTTCTGTAATATCTATTATTGTCAATATAATGGAAAATGCGGCTGAAATTGTATTATATGAGCAGTCAAAAAGTTAAAATGACACTACATTCTACTTTTATGTTTATTTCACGTACAATAATACAAATACTTCAGAAAGAAGGCTAATGTACCTGTATTATTATCTGTTTATACAAAACATATGGTACAAATTACTACTTGTGCTGCGAAATTGAGCTTCAATTTTTATTTTATGCAAACAATCAAAAGAGAGAAAAAATCACTGCGAAGTATGAAATTGATGTGCTTACAAGCTGGAATATAAATTATTTATATTATAGTATAGCACAAATCTAGTGTAGAAATGTTTGATAAAGGTTTATTATATGTTCTGAAATTTTACAGTGGCAAATCCTTCAAATGACGGAATAAACAAGCCTCCAACGGGGATTGTGCAATGTCGTCTGCTCCTTTGCATCATAAGCATCAATAATTTCTGTGCTTTTACCGGAGCTACATACCATTGTACGTTATATCTACAATAATGTTATTAGATAATCATAACTGTAAGTTTCGATAATATTGTAGATTTATTTTGCTATCATTATTTGTGATATAGTCCGTACATTTTACTTGCACCTAATATCCTTATTAACTAAAGATTAATTATATAATACTCACATTCTGTGAAAAACATCGCTGCTATGATCGATCACTTTCTGACCCAAGTAGTTACAGAAAAACATGTACCAAAAATGACCAACGACGAAAAGAAAACTCATAATCATTTCACTGTATTCCTTGGACATTATCAATCGAGAAAGCTGTATCACATAAATAATACTAAGCTGCTTTTGTAGTGAAGAAATAGTAACAGTTTTATTGGCGAATACAATATTATAGAAATAATATAGATATTATTTGGACAGATAATACTTTTAATCGAAATATGATAATTACCGTATAATAGTAAATGTATGTTAACAATTACTCACGCGATAAAGATTAATGGTCAGTGATAGTATTCCGAATGGCATCAGCAAAAAATACGCCCAAGTATAATTTTTCTTCAACATTTCGATAAACCTTATGTAACAATAAATTTTAAATATACGTAGGGAAAATATGATGACATAAATGATTATACAATCAATCACAGAAAAAGCGGTCTAGTAGAAAAATAGATCAAAGTTATGAAACCTCAAAGGCTTACGCAATATTGCATTATGAAGGGGAGAATTTTATATACATATACGTGTTTATTATCTCATTGAGCTATGACTTACTCCGTGCAACACGAGAAACTTATTTTTCTATTAATCAATTTTGCAGGTTCTTCTTTGTCACCCGCCATTGGAAAACTGATCAATTCTTGCACTGGACATTCAAATTTTCACAAAATATAAGCTTCAAGTTTTAGTTTTCTTTTTGAAACACGTTAATGTCATAATTATTAGCTGCATTAAAAATTTTATAATTATTTCCTTAATTGTATAATTTCTATTTTTCTACTGTACCGCTCTTTCTTTGACTGAGCATATCTAATTTGTTAATAATATATGTTAACGATTTATGTTAATTTTCACGTAAAATTTAGTATATTATGTAAATTTGCTGGAAAATTAAATGACTCAGGACAAATCGTACTACAGAATGATAAAACTTCTTAATCATACACATGACAATTACACATCATGAAGACAACAACACACATTACGAACTCGATTGCTGTTTTGTACATATTGAAGCCATTGATTATCCCTTGACATATTATTGTATTTCTTTTGGTAAAAGATAGAGTATTGTATACCGCGTCTTTAAGCAATGCTTGTTCGATACGATAGCTGAAATTGATAATGTAATTGCAACACGTTCACAAGCGTCATTACAATCAAAATTGATTCATTTCTTGAAGTCTTAAATTTTGTTTTACCTAGTTATTTCAAATAAACCACACGCATGCTGAATGTATGACACACTAAGCGTTTCGGTGGCTACCACTGTAGTTAGACCACTCACGACGAAAAAACCTATTACCGACAAAATGAAAAAAAAATGCTTTTGCTGATCTATAAAACATTCTATTAAGATCGGGAATTGTCGTAGACGTGATTCATTTTTACTGAATGTGATGTCCAGAAGAAAGTTTGATAGAAATTGTGATAGAATAAAGCAAAGAATAGATACATAGATGAACACTGCAATTAAACGATTAAAGTTCGAATAAAATGTAAAGCATAAAAAATGATTTGAGATTTATTGCTTACATGTCGTAAGTACTGTGATGAATCTTCCAATATCTGAGTATTCTTTTATTATTTCAATTTCTTGTTCGTTGTGTAATTCATTCCAATTTTTAAGCATTTGTCTCATCAGGTCTCGCATCTGCGTTGATAATATAATGACTATTTATTATCATTTCCCCAAAAATGTCTCAAATAAGATTAATAATTATGGTTTGTTTGTCTTAACTTTCTCCGTAAGAATCTCCGTTTGATATGGTATATTCTTACCGCTCTTATGTTTAAGCAGAGAACATTATACTTTAATGCATAGCCTAACCATGGGACACTGTACGCGAGGACATGTAGAAGAATGTCTACATTATATTGTGTTGTGATGAAAGTCGTTAGCTAAAAGTGATATTTTTCACTCAAATCATTTATATTTTAATGTTATGGATAAGTCTTTCGGTTGAACTAACCACGAAGTAGTTATTCAAAATACATACAAATAAGAAAAGTTGGTTTAAATATTACCACATTTGTTACAATTTAATTAAATTTAATTAAATAATGTTTGTGGTAAGAACAGAATGTCCTTGATTTAATCGATCTTCTTACCTGAATTACTATCATTAATACAAACATTATTGTTGTTAACACTATAGCGATATATCTGAAAGTAGACTTTTGAAACGGCCATAATCCGATAGATAGTAATAAAATTCGATTAATTGTATAGTAAGTCTGTACAGGGCCGTTTTGCCATCTCAGTGCTAGTGTCATAACGCGTTTGTGCCGAATATCTTTTCACGTGTGGCCTCGTAGGGTTGGCATGTTTCATTGTAGTTTATAATTCGATATTTCTACTAATTCAAATAAACTATTGAAATAGCACAAAATTATGATAGAATACCTATAGTTTACTATAATCATATAAATTATTGCTTTAGTACATATTGGCTCTGTTCGTGGTTCTATGAGCCTCAGGTAAACATTATACCTGCGTGAACCAATTATCTATTTTCTCAGCGTATGCATTTGATATTTCTCTCCTAACGTTCGATCGACGCAAGCGCAATTGCAAAGTCACACCCTCATGTGTCTCGCGTCTCTTCATTTCTATTCGAGACAGGGTGTCTTGCAGTACTTCTCTTGTGCACATATGTGCTAGCATCTTTCTATTAGAAATTTATTAACTAGAAAGATCACTGTGCGGTTATAATCATTGGAACTGCGATGTGTTGTGTCGTAAAGATTACGTTGCTATACCAATACTGAAGACTTATTTTGAATTACATCCAAACTCTAAATTTCAGTAAGCTGTCATAACTACTGATTTAAAATATTATAATTCGATGTAATATAAGTAGGCTGAAAGAGTTAACCGTGTCATGAAAAATGTGCATTTATAGACTAGTATTTCTATTTAATTATTTTCTCGTGTTATAAGATTAAATTGTATAAAACATAAAATAGGTTTAGCAACTATCAAGAGTGGCGACAGTGTATGGTAATAATGGATAATTTTCTAAAAATTGATTGACTTTATGGTTTTGATAAAAAACTCTGAAAAGTGATAATGTTTCTTTTTATTTGGGAATAAGATTGATAAAAGATTCATGATTTAGTGTCGAGACTTTTCCTTAATAAATTTTTCTTAGAATGCAACAAACAAGCTACCACTCACAATCTTGCTACGTTGCACATGTTTTTACAAGCAATTGCGATTTCAACATGTGACTGGGGCTGTATGCTTCGTATTAAAAAAACCATCATTTACTGACAGTAATTAAAAGCTTTAACGTTGATGCATATTTATTTTTGTTTATTATATATTGACACGCGTTGAATGCTGTGCTAGTCAACGAGAATTGTAGCGGCGACGTTGCAAGTGCAAGTGCCGATTATTACAGTAATTTACTACCAATCTCATTAATGCATTAAGCTCATAAAAAATAGTAATTTTAAATTTGTGACTAAAATATAAATAATGATGAAATAACATTCTAAAGTAATAAATGTTGTATTATAAAACTACACATGATAATTTTGCATAATTAAATTATATTATATAATATTGTATCAAAATGTGAAAATCTAATAGTGAAAATTTCACTTTAGGGTCGCCAGAAAAATTATGCGAATTATGTTCGGTGCTCAACGTGTTAAGTGATGTTTTATGAAGGATCGCCGCTATGATCAATCGTCTACAACCTCAAACAGTTTTGGAAGACAGGTACCAAAAATAACCCAGAAAACGAAGGAGTTATTATTTCGTAATATTTGATCGTCGTTAGATCCAGTAAAAATCACATAGATTATCATTTTGGATAGATTTTGCGTGGATGCAATGTATAGGTTCAAGATAACAACAATAATGCAAGCAGATATCACGACATCTGGCAAATGCAAGATACTCGTACGTCTTGATGAGAGTAATAAGCATACATATACAATTCTAATAATTTTTTCGACGCAAGCTTTCATGCTCGTGTTCTGTTGCTAGAATCATCTTTGTAATAATATTTAAGTTTGTAATATCTATTATTTTCAATATAATGAAAAATGCAGCGATAGTTGTATTAATTGTTACTAAAGAGCAATCGAAAAGTTAAAATAATACTACTCGTACATTATACTTCTATATTCATTTTAAGTATATTATTATATTTTACAATAATACAAATACTACGGATTAAAGTAGGCTAATTGCATCTTTTATTCTATTTATACATATAATAAATGTGTGTATAAATAGAATAAAAGTATATATGCATTTGTAATTAAAATTATTTTATTGGACACTACAACTTTGTTCAGACTCTGAGTCTTTTTTTATTACTTGACATATAGATATATATACATTTTTAAATGCAAAACACATGGTATAAATATACTACTTGCGTTGTGGAATTTGAAGCTTTAACTTTCATTTCACGTGGAGAGATAATCAAAAGAGAGAAATAATCACCGCAAAGTATGAAATTGATGAACTTATAAGCTGAAATATAATTTATATAAATTATATTATAACAAAGCGTCTAGTGTAGAAATGTCCGATAAAGGGTTATTATAAATGTACCAATTTACCATAGCGAATCCCTCTAATGACGGAGTGAATAAGCCACCAATGATAATTGTGCAATGTCGCATGCTCCTTTGCATCACGAGCAATAATAACTTCTGCGCTCTTAATGGGGCTACGTACCATTGCACGTTATATCTAAAATCTTGTTATTAGGAAATCATAACTGAAAGCCTCGATTATGCCGCAGACTTACTTTTCTCTAGCTCGTACTTAAGTATACTATTTAAACCCGTTTGTTTTATTTGCACTTAATATTCTTAAGTACAAGTAGGAAAAAACACACACATACACGTATCTTTAACAAAGTATTTCAACTAGAATTATCTTGATGCTCTGAGTTAAGGTTTAATATGTATTTTACTCACGTTCTGTAAAATACATCGCCGCTATGATCAATTATTAGCTGTCCTAAATAATTGCCAAAAAGCATGTACCCAAAATGACCAAGGATAAACATAAAACTAACGATCATCTCGTTGTAATCTTTGGACGATATCAACCGAGAAAACTACAACGTATAAATAATTGTACCGAAACAGGTGTACCGATTATTTGGTTTGTATTAGTTAACAATTAATATGTACAGCACAATGAAAGCAATAAGTTATGTAATTAAATAATTGCTCACCCGATACAAATTAATACTCAGCGATAGTACCCCTAATGGTAACAGTGCTGAATATGCCCATTTAAACATCACCTTTAACATTTCAATAAACCTTAAATAACAAAATTAATCTTAAATATATGTACAGATCATTTATATTCACACAAATGATAAATGTGATAATTACTAACCAATGTACTGATAATAATGATTTATACGATTTATAAAAATTCGTGCACTAATTTCTTGAAAAGTTAGAAGATTCGAAAAGAAATGACACCATAAAATAAAAAAAAACTTGTAATTATATTAATGATAATTACGTACTCGGTGGCTCTTTTATACATATTGAAGCCATCGATTATTCTTCGATATATTATCGAACTTCTTTCGATAGGAGATGGAATACTTTGTACCATATTTTCGTGCAGCGCTTGTTCTATGCGACAGCTGAAAGTGATAACATGACTGCCATATTTTCAAACGCCGTTAAAGTCAATCGATTCATTCCTTAAAGCTCTGAGTTTGGTTTTACCTGGCTACTTCAAATAAACCACACGCATGATGTACGTATGACATATTAATCGTTTCTGTGGCTACCACTGTGGTCAGACCACATGTAGCAACAACACATAGTTGCAATAAAATTGGAAAAAAATATTTCTGATGATCTACGAAACATTCTATTATGACCGGAAATTGTCGTAAACGCGATTCATTTGTACTGGATGTGACGTTCAGAAGAAAGTTTGATAGAAACAGTACCAGAATGAAGCAAGAAATACATGTATACATGAACACTGTAATTGAATGATTAAAGTCTGAATCGAAGTAACCGAATGTAAAGTATAAAAGATAATTCACGATATATTGCTTACATGATGTAATTATTGTAATGAATCTTCCGACAGCAGAATATTCTTTTATTATTTCAACTTCTTGCGTGTTGTTTAATCCATTCCAATCACATTGTACTCGTTCCATAAGATCTCGTATCTAAAGTCATTAAATATTCAGTGTTTAATTTTCCCGAAAATATTCCACGTGGTGTCGATAATAATCATTAATTTTTCCTATAAATTTTTCTATAAGTATTTACATCTGATATTGAATTGAATTCTTTTACCTGTGTTATGTATAAGCAGACAATATATTTTAATGTATAACCTAGCCATGGGATGCTGTACGCGAGAATTCGTAGAAGAATATCTACATTATAATCCATTGTGATGAAAGCCGTTAACTAAAAATGATACTTTCCATTCAAGTCTTTTCTACTTTTATGTTAATAATTTGTTTTCATTTAGCATATTTTCGAAAAGGTTGAGCAAAATATATCTAAATACGAAATTTGTGTTCAAGCCTTACCAAATTTATTATAATTATACGTTTATAACAAAGAAAAAATATTAACATTGATAAAACAAAAGGTTTTATTAATTTTTATCTTAAATATTATACAAATCATATTAATGAGAAATGTCAAATAGAGACAGTATCATACCTGAAATGCGACGCCTGATATCAGCATTATAGTAGTAAATGTTATTATGATATGTCTGAGACTAGACTTTTGGTATGGCCATAAGCCAATGCATAGTAACAAAATTCGGTTGATTGTATAGTATTTATTTACTGGGCAATTTTGCCATTTAGGTGTAAATATAACGCGTTTATGTCGAATTTCTTTCCACGAGTTACCACTTAGATTTGCCATGCTCGATTGGAAATAATAATTCACTATTTCTACGTATTCAAACTAAAGTGTTGACCTGTTGCAAAATTACAATAGCTTACTGTAGTCACTCAAATTACAGCTTTGGCATATATTTGGCTAGTGACTGTATCTGTTACTCCTAGATGTGAACGTTATTACTTGCGTGACAAAACGATTATCTTTTACTTCGCGTGGCTCTCTTTTACGTTCGATCGGCGCAAGCGCAATTGCAAAACCGCCTTCGCGCGTTTCCGACGTCTCTTCACTTCTACTCGAGACTCGGAACAGTACGGTACTTTCTTTGCGTACTGAAATAATGTGTGTTGACATCATTCGAGATTAACTGGAAAGATTGTTACGCGATTATTATCATTCGAAACTGTGATTTGTGTATCATGCGAGTACCGCGAAGATTCATTTTGGATCAAAACGCTTAATTAGTAAGCTTTCATAACTATTAATGCAACTTATTGGTTACACTGTAGCATAAATACACTTAAAACTCATTGCAGTAAAAAATCTCCAATTTCCCTGTGAAATCTTTATATAAAACATTGTTCGATATTTTTCTGAGTTTACGAGAAAAAAGGCAAAACCTTATCTTCCATGGTTTCACCCCTTCGAAACGTTTTTCAATCATAACTAAAAATTTCTAAATTTATCTATTAACTCCGCTAACGTTTATTCTAATTTCATTAGAATCGGAATTTTCAAGTTTGCGAAATTTCCTTGCAAGGTACATTATGATGAGAGTTGACATTGACAAAAAATTGTTTAAACTAAGTAAATAGATTTACTTAAAAATCTTTTTACTCAAGTAAATATTTATTCTATTTAAATAAAAATATCAAATTTCAAATCAATCTGTGTATTATATTAAGTAAATTAATTTAAATCATTACATTTTCTACATTCAACTAAAGATTTCATGAAATAGAGAATACTATTTATTAAATGAAATCATTGTTTTTGTCAAATAAGAAATCCAATTTTCTTCGCTGTAAAACTTATATCTTAGTACACATTATACAGGGTGAGTTATAACATTTGTCCACGAGCTCGTGAGAAGGTAGAACGGATCGAGATGAACAGAAAAGTCCTGAAACATTTTGCAATTTTCGCAATAGTTAACGAGAAAAAAATTATCGAAAATCGTCGTCTTTGCCCTGCCCACTGTCCAATTCGAGCGCGTAGCGAGATGTGACCGCATGGCGATCGATATTGCCAAGCGAGGGATGGGGACACGAGACGCGGGAGCGGCGACGTAAACAACTCGCCGGCAACTGCGCGCTGTCCCCCCGTCCCCCCCTCGCCAGGCAATATCGATCGCCGGGCGGTCACATCTCGCTACGCGCTCGAATTGGACAGTGGGCAGGGC